AGGGACACATGTGACCACACCGGCTGTGCTTGAGGGACACATATGTCCATATGTTTAATGTAGGCAGCCATCTGTTCAGTATTGTATCTCTTCCAAAAAAATATCGGAAATTAAACAGTGTACATAATATTTTTTCAATGGGGCTTTATTCTAATGTCATTAGGGCGTGACGTCATATATATCGAATGACGTTGTATCTGACGTCACAGACGTCAAGCTGTCGTATTTTCTGGCACACGAAATGCAACCATATCTCGAGTTGTTTATTATGAATGAATTGCACCGGTTGGCCCGGGGTCAATCGGTGTAAACGACTTCATCGAACAATCGGTTCTTACTCAGTCTGACGTAATAACATTTATGCATTTTGACATTGTGACATTTAGGGGAACGTGCACGAATTCGAAATTCGTCTATCCAACACAAATTCACATCCTTGTCTTTTGGTTTTTGAATGATAGTTGTCTCATCAATTAGCAATTATACCCTAACACCTTATTTTATTGGGGACCTCGGTGGCCGAGTGGTCTAAGTAGTTCATGAGTCCGAGATTGCTCTGACGTCCAACGGCGGTTTTGCCAGACAAGTTGGGGCCGTCCCTGTATCACTAGCCTGTCAACCCTGAGTTGAGTTCGAATCTAGCACGTGGCAGGTGCGTTCGATCGATATCTTAATAGACTATTTTCATATTACCGACTTTTGACTCCGGATTATATAATTTGTCGACTGGTTACCTTGGACATCATGGTACTCGGTCAAGTAAGAGCAGCCAAAATAAGTAAAATCAAACATATAATCGGTGTAATTTGAGGGGAAAGTTTACTGTTTTCCGATGATTTTGTAGTGAAAAAAAAATATTAACCAGGTAATTTTCCCCCAAAATTAAACCGATTGAAAGCTTGGTTTTACTTCTTTAGCTTGCTCTTACCTGACTTGGTCGTTGGTACCGTGGCTCCTGGCCATTTTGCTTCCTCTGCTAATAATAACTGACCCCCACGAAATAGCCAATAGTTTTGAAAGCGACATTAAAAACCAACCGATCAATCAATCAATCAATCTTATTTTGTGTATATATTTATATAAATCAATGTCAATTGCTTTGATCAAAGATTGTTCAATATGTTAAGACCTTAAAGGAATTAACAGCTCTAAATGGCTTAAGTGGATTGATAGGACATCAAAAAACTTTTTGTAATAGTTTTAAAAGGCTTCAGTAGCTAGTAGCTCTTTGTACATTGTATGCATACAACATTTCCATTAAAAGAAAGTGTTTATGTGCGAAACATGTGTGCTAATCAAAGTTTTATGTTTTAGACATATGTTATCTGTAATTTGATAATAATGACTATATCAGATTTTGATGGTCTCTAATTTGATAAATAAAAAAAAATGTGTTATAGGCGAAAATATCAATTTTTGTTTTTATCGTGATCGAACAAAAGAGAATTTTCTTTCAACACTCTGGTGTATTAAGATCTTCTCTGACATCTGACTTGTCGGAAACCAGGTAATATATCTTAATTGTTTTGTAATTATAAAATAATGAATATTAAATAAATAAAGTAAAAATATTATAAGCACAAAATTCGGAAAATATATTTGAAATTCTTTTAAACAAAGGACAAGAAGAAACAAGAAAATATCAAAGAGGTATTGCCTGTGTCCCTTGAATATGTTGGTATCTGGCCCGCATTACTTGTTTCTTTTGCATCCCCTCTATTTGTTGGTATCTGGTCCACATAACTGGTTTTTCTCGCATAGCCTTTGTCACCTGTACTTTGTTGGTATCTGGTCCACAGAACTGGTTCCTCTTGCATAGCCTTTGTTTCTTGTATTTGATGATATCTTGTCCACAGAACTGGATTCTCCTGCTAAGCCTTTATCTCCTGTATTTGTTAGTATCTGGTCCACTGAACTGGTTCCTCTTACATAGCCTCTGTTTCATGTATTTGTTGGTATCTGGTCCACAGAACTAGTTCCTCTTACAGAGGAAGATAAATCCTAAGGTGATTTCAATATCAACGAGTCTTAGTGCGAAATATTTAAATCAGGCCTTTTGTGTCCATATCCCTAGGTAGAAAATATGTGTGTGTGCATGTCCAAAGCAAAACACCATACTTGTGTGTATGTCCTTAGCCAGAAACCAAATTTGTGTGATGTTCCAAACCAGAAACCAAAAATCACATGGCCCTAACCAGAAACCACGTTCGTGTGCATGTCCCTAGTTAGAAATTACATATGTTTTGCCATGTCCCTAACCAGTGTCCCTAACCAGAAACAACGTTTGTGTTCATGTCCCTAGCTATAAATTTCATTTGGGAATGTCCTTAGCCAAAAACCTCGTTTGCGTGTCTGTCCCTAGTCAGAAACCACGTTTGTGGGCATGTCATTAGCCATAAACCTAGTTTTTATGTATGTCCCTAACCAGAAACCACGTTTGTGTGCATGTCTCTAGCCAAAACCAAGTTTGTGTTCATGTCCTTATCCAGAAACCACGTTTGTAGGCATGTCCCTTACCAGAAACCAAGTTAATGTGTATGTCCCTAGTTAGAAGCCAAGTGTGTGTGGATGTCCCAAGCAACACACCATGTTTGTGTGTATGTCCCTAGCCAAATTAAGCCACGTTTGTGAAATTTCCCAAAACAGAAACCACGTTTGTGTGATGTCCCAAACCAGAAATCACGTTTGTGTGATGTCCAAAACCAGAAACCAAACTTGTGAATGTTCCGTACCAGAAATCACGTTTATGGGCTTGTCCTTAGCCAGAAACCGTGTGTCTGTGCATGTCCCTAACAAAAAACTAAGTTTGAATGTACGTCCTTAGCCAGAAACCACGTTTGCGTTCATGTCCCTAATCAAAACCACGTTTGTGTGCATGTCCCAAGAAAAACACCATAACTGTGTGTATGTCATTAGCCAAAAACCACGTTTCTGTGATGTTGCTTTCAAGAAACAATGTTTGTGTGTATATTCCTAACCAGAAATCAAGTTTGTGGGCATTGCCCTAACCAGAAACTACGTTCGTGTGCATGTCCCTAGCTAGAAATCATATTTGTGGGCATGTCTTTAGCCAGAAACCACGTTCATGTTCCTGTCCATAGCTAGAAGTTACATTTGTGGGCATGTCCTTAGCCAGACAACTCGTTTTTATGTTTGTCCCTAGCAAGAAATCACGTTTGTGGGCATGTCCCTAACCAGAAACCACGATTGTGGGCATGTCCCTAACTAGAAACCACGTTCGTGGGCATGTCCCTAGCCAGAAACCACGTTTGTGTGCATGTCCCTAGCCAGAATCACGTTTGTGGGCATGTCCTTTGGCATAATCCTCGTTTGTGTGCATGTCACTAGCCAGAAACCACGTTTGTAGGCATGTCCTTAGCCAGAAACCTCGTTTGTGTGTATGTCGCTAGTTAGAAACCAAGTTTGTGTGCATGTTCCAAGTAACACACCATATTTGTGTGTATGTCCCTACCCAAATTAAGCCACGTTTGTGAGACGTTCTTAACAATAAACCAAGTTTGTGTGTATATTCCATACCAGAAATCACGTTTGTGGCATGGCCCTAACTAGAAACCACGCTTGAGTGCATATCCTTAGCTAGAAATTACATTTGTGCGCATGTCCCTAGCTAGAAATCATTTTCTGTCGGTTAAGTATACATAGGGTATACTGTTATCATTTACTGCATTATAGGTTTGCTATTAGCAACATTAACGCTGAACGTGACCGTCAAGTTATTGACCATGTATGTCTGTACGGCATTATACAGTATACTTGGAATTTGGTTACAGATATAAAAATCAGTTACAAAATCATACCACTTTTCCTTTTTTATAAAGACTTATCGGTCAGTGCTAAGCAATAATGAACGACTACAAAAATTACAAAGTTAAAGTACCAATCCAAAAGTTACCTCTTTCCTTGCATATTTCAAAGGCTGTATTGCAGCATTTCCTATTGATGTATCTTGGCCTTGTAAGTATACAAACCATTTACCTTTGGTCTTTAGGAATAGTAGTCTCGTTGGCATTATATTACGCCTCCCTATATTTACATTTATTCTCGGGGGCCTCCTTGGGAGGCACAGTTTGGGGTTCATCCGTAACATATATATTTTGTGTTTGCAGGAATATATTCAATATTAAAAAGAAGAATTTCAAGTCTTAAAATTTTTCACAAATATTGTCATATATTACACAACATATTCTATAAAGTTCAAATTAATAATGTACTCAATAATCCACGATCATTGCAAAGGAAAGTGGTATTTGAAAAAGGAATTACTTAAAAGGAGATTGCAGCTGCCAATCCCTGTCATCCAACATCAGAAACCGCAAACGATGCATATTTTTTTTAAGAAAACCTCAATAGCAATCAGACGATAATAGCAAGAAATCAAAACAGATATTTGCCATTGGTATCTTTACCTGTGTTTCTTCTTATATTTGTCTAAGGTCAAAATAAACTGTAGATCTGTCACATAATTACCATTAATTTTCAGACCTACCTTAAAATATTTTTGGTCAAGAGCTGTTAAAGTTCGGGCATTTTTGGTTAAGGATCGTTGAACTTAACACTGTCACATGGAAGGATTCCGTTTGTGCCCTATGCGACACAAGGCGCTAACGGGAGTTTTAAATAATAATCGTTGAATTCTAGAATATTTCCCTATATACTTGTAGTTAATGTAAAATAAAATATTTCAAAATTATTTTACCTACCTACCTACCTACCCTATTGTTTCAGTTAGACAGGAGTGTATATTTGCCTAAAGTCTCATTGACATACCGGTAGTTGTCAAGACCTGTAATTGTTTTTAAATCATATTGAAAAATTCCTTATGTCATATGACCTTTACTCATGAAAAAATACAATAGCTTAAGCTGTATGTAAACAATAAAACAATAGCAAGATGTTTTGTCCACTGGTATACTTATCTTGTATACTGGTAACAGGTGCTCAAATTATTTAAATATGTACATAAATTGACATGTACGGAAATATGTAGTCACGGTGGAATAAGACATGAAACACATAGCTAAAAAATATAGTTAATAAAGCAAAGTTATGAATTTTGAAACGTTTGGAGAATTTTGAATAAGAAATCCTGACAAGTGAGTTTTGGTTTTTTTTATTTTTCGTTTTATCTTTGTGTTTCTTCGAGATTTCTATACAGCGGATTCGTAAGTGTTTCTAAATCAAGTTTGTCTTATAATGAAGTTTTTTGTTGTACATGTATTTTCTGGTTTAGGTTCATATAGAATTATAACCCCAAATAAGGCTACGACCACGTGATGTTGTCTTCCAAAAAGGCTCTGACCATGTCCTGTTGTCTTTCAATTTTTACAATACCATATTGTACATTGCATACAATATTAATACGAACTGTATTTACTATGATAATGTTTAGATGCATTGTATCACATTAGGTTACATACCAAGGAAGCAGAGTAAGTGGCTATGATAATGGTTATATGCATTGTATCACATAGTACACAAACCCAGGAAGCAGAGTTAGTGACTATGATGATGTTTAGATGCATTCTATCATATTAATACAATTGAGAATGGAAATGGGAAATGTGTCAAAGAGACAACAACCCGACCAAAGAACAGAAAACAGCCGAAGGCCACCAATGGGTCTTCAACACAGCGAGAAAATCCTCTATTATACATACCCAGAAAGTAGTGTTAGTGGCTATGATCGTGTTCAAATTCATTGTATCACATTAATATACATACCAAGGAAGCAGAGTAAGTGGCTATGATAATGTGTAGATGCATTGTATCACATTAGTATACATACACAGGAAGCAGAGTTAGTGGCTATGATAATATTTAGATGCATTGTTTCACATTAGATTACATACCAAGGAAGTAGTGTTAGTGGCTATGATAATGTGTAGATGCATTGTATCACATTAGTATACATACCCAGGAAGCAGAGTTAGTGGCTATGATAATGTTTTGATGCATTGTATCACATTTAATATAATACATACACAGGAAGCAGAGTTAGTGGCTATGATAATATTTAGATGCATTGTTTCACATTAAAATACATACCCAGGAAGCAGAGTTAGTGGCTATGATAATGTTTTGATACATTGTATCACATTTAATATAATACATACACAGGAAGCAGAGTTAGTGGCTATGATAATATTTAGATGCATTGTTTCACATTAAAATACATACACAGGAAGCAAAGCTAGTGGTTATAATCATGTTCAAATTCACTGCATGAAAATACGGATATTGTGTTATTTAAGTTTGCTGAAAAATAAATTTGGAAATTACTTTTAATTAAGAAATATATCTTCCTCATGCAAAGCTCTGATTCCTAGCCCGACTTTGGATATATTTTTTGTCTTATTTAGATTTATCAGCTATTCAATTTTCTGATAAATTTTGGATTTTCATATATTTTGGCCTCGATCATCACTGAAGAGATATTTATTATCGAAATGCGCACATGGAAGGGGAAAATTAGTACCGTTAATGTTATTACAATACATACTTCTGAAGCAGAGTTGGTGGTTATGGTTATGTTCAGATTTATTGTATAACATTGGAATACATAACCCAGGAAGCAGAGCGCCTGTAGTGTATTCCCTTATATTTTTACAGTTAGGGTTTTTTGCTTGTGAGAGAGCTGTCTACATATTCCATTATATTAATGTTCTATTTCTTTTATTGTTAATTTCTGTGTCATTTGGTCTCTTGTTGAGAGTTGTCTCATTGGCAATCATACCACATCTTCTCTTTATAATTAAAGTAATATGAGACCCGTGTAACTTGTGAAAGTCCGTACTATTTTCGTAATACTTTTTGGTAATCAGATATTTACAACATGACAGCCTCCTTCAACAGTGTAATGCGCAAGTGCAAATGTTGTAAAGAAAAGTTACCGATTTCAGAGTCACTAGTACTGTAAATTTAGAAATTATTGCGTGCATTTATTATTGCGAATTTTGAAGAAACGACAAAAATGCGAGATTTATTTTTCGTCGATTTTAAGATCTGCATAAAGACATGCGTACCAGATATCAAAATGCGAGTTCTTATTATTGCGATAATCACCCAGTCGCATTATTCGCAATAATAAAAACCTCGCAATAATTTCTGAATTTACAGTATATTGATTTTTCTTCTGATTGATTTTCTTACAGTTATTAAAATACTTATACAGAAGGCAGAGTTAGTAGTCGTCTGTTGTCATATCTTACCGCCGTTGTTGTTATTTTAAGAATTAGATTTTGATTGCAAATCTCTCTGCCAGTTTCTGTATAAATTTCAGAGCCACTAGTATACTGATTTTTCTTCTATTGACTTTCTTACAGTTATTAAAATACTTATACAGAAGGCAGAGTTAGTAGTCGTCTGTTGTCATAATTTTATCTTAATTACCGTTTTTTATTCTAAGAATTTGATTTGATGACAGATCTCTGCCAGTTTCTGAATAAATTTATAAGCAGCTTGTTTAATCAGAACACATCTTGCTTCATCATATATAACGTCCATATATGAGGGTCTGGAAAGGGTGCAGCACCCCATTATTTCTAATCTTTTATTTACTTTTTTGCCTATTTTTCTCATTTAAAAAAAAATCCATTTTTTCTGTACTTTTGGTCCATTATTCTCTATTTTTATAAACTGCATAGAGATCCTCATCATTAATACTACATGCCTTGAGAGACAACAATACATTTCTGTTTTATCCATGTAACTTTCTACTGAGTTCTACATACTTAAACTCGGTTTAACTTGTTATAGATGTGTTGACAAAACATAACCTTACGATAGCTACAACTGCATGGTTTTACTTCAGAAAGCGCTTTAGTTTTTATTAAATTAAAATCATACATGAATGGTATATAACAGAAATTATCCAATCATATTGGACAATACAATAGACCACACCCACCGCGAACATCCAATTCCTCCGAACATCAAATTCCTCCAAACATCCAATTAATTCCTCCGAACATCCAATTCCTCCGTGAAAATATGGGTACAAACCACGATAAATAACAACGAACAACACATGGTCCGGATAGCCTAACTTAGTACCGGCACAAAATGTGCTCATTGTTGAAGGCCGTACGGTGACCTATAGTTGTTAAATTCTGTGTCATTGTGGTCTCTTGTGGAGAGTTGTTTCATTGGCAATCATACCACATCTTCTTATTTTTTATATTCGCTTATATGTTTATGTTAATATGCCCATTAATGTCTAATTTATATAACTTGAGGGTACCGAAATTGCTCCTATTTTGACACGGGTTTTTTTCAAATACGTTTATTTATCATCCAGACAAAAGTTCCCATTCTGTGTTTATTTTGTAGATGTATTCTTATTTACTATATAGTTCCATCAATTTAATTTTGAATCCATATTGAATCATAGAAAAATGGGTTTGAACCGACCTCGAAACGATCTATGATTCTGTAGTGAGGAGTATTCAAATTCACATCCGTAAAAATCGAATAATTTATGTTTTGCTTTATTTCTCCAAATATTTAGAACGACGTGACAATTAAGAGATAACTGTATTGTATTTGAAGCTTTGCGGACGTCCATCGGTAGTTTTACTGTCGCAAATTTAGTTTACCTGGCGACGCGTAGCGGAGACAGGTAAACGGGTATTTGCGACAGTAAAACTACCGATGGACGTCCGCAAAGCTTCAAATACAATACAGTTATCTCTATTCTAATGAAAAACAAGTACATAATTCAATTTCAATCATTATCTCAGTGTAAAATTCTCATTAAAGAAAATTCCGCGAAAAGATGTTATCTTCTTTGGCCCCTAAACTAGGTGACGTCATAGGTATGCTTCCGTGGTCAAACGTAAACACCGGGCGTTTTCTGGCTTCTTGGCCGCTTCAGAATGTAATTAAATTTGATAAAAAGAAGATTTCTAGGTGCAACATGTGAGTTTTTTTGCTTATCATTGTAAAAATTGCATGTCAATACATTCCGCAATTCAAAATGTCGGCTTCCTTAGTTACAGACAAGGAGATAGAGAATTGTACGTTTACTGACATCCAATCAGAACAACTGATACAAACTAATTGCATTAGAATAGTCTATGCTTAGTATTAATTTTTCTGAAATGGATGTCTGTAACATATTTTAATTGCTCATTTTTAAGATTTGACTTTTTGTGGACGTCGCATGACGACGTTTCTGTAGATTTTACTTTTTTCTCTGGATACTTCATCTGTTGATGATATACTGTGAACATTTTGTATATATTTAAATATATTTAGCTATGTTGAAAGACGTGCATAATGTCTAATCATAAAAATACAAATTGTTTAGTCTCTTAGAAAACTTCTAAGATTTCCACTGCTATTTTTGCTAATTGGGAGCAATATGGGCACTCAGCAATTTGGTTACTGTGACGTTACATAAATTAGTGTTCTTATGTACATCATCGCATCATGTTGTATTGATTTTAAATAATACATCAATATTACATGAACATGTATACTAGTAATTGACTGAATTCTGTTCGCGATAGGTTTCTTTTTTAATTTATATAAAAATAATCAATGAGAATTGTATACTAGTAATATAACTTTACAACAATTCACATATAAGTACACTTTTCAACATCCATCCCTTTCCAAAAAAAAAAAACAAATAAAAACAAATAAGGCCTGTTTCATCTTGAATCCAAATAAATGATCTGATTTTTCATTTTTATTAAACTGTATGTGAGGGTCCAGTGGTGGGTTTCGTTTCTGTATTCTTTGTTTTATGCCATTTTTTTGTATTCTTTTTTGTTTGTTAATTTGTTTGACCATTTTCCTCAATTATTTGTTTCCCCCCCAGTATCCTCTATTATTTGTTTTCCCCCCAATATCCTCTATTATTTGTTTTCCCCCCAGTATCCTCTATTATTTGTTTCCCCCCAGTATCCTCTATTTATATTTTAGCACCCTTTTATTCTTCGTTCTTTACTTTTAATCGTTTACAGTATCTCGTATCTTTATGGGTTTATCCCTTAGTCTCAAGTCTGTAAACCCCATTCAGACCTTCGTCTTTACTTTTAATCGTTTACAGTATCTCGTATCTTTATGGGTTTATCCCTTAGTCTCTAGT